AGTAAAAACCTCTTTCTGTATTTTTTATTTAACTTTTGTAAAATGCCGAATATGAGACATTGAGTGATATAATTGTAATTTTTCTTCTTTTTAACTTCTGTAAATAGCAGGTCTACGATTTCTCAATCGATTGTTACCATTAATTCGAGACCTATGGTTTCGATGGGAATCTAGTAATTGAATTGGGAGTAATCGATTTTTTGTTTTCTTTTGGGGGCATTTTTTCCTGTATTATGTATCGCACCATTCTTTTGGAATTGGATTCATTGGATTGCTTTCAGAAATCCCAAAATCCAAGGCAGGAATTTCCTGGAATTGGTTGTCTAAGGGGTGCAGTGTGCCCTCTTCAGGGAAAGCCAAATCTTGATAAGGACGAACCACGTGAGGCGGGTCTGAGAGACCACGAAGCGAGACTTGAGAACAACAGGGAACGTGCACAAGCCTGATGAGGGATAGTGGACACCGTTCGTTCAGGATGGACGATTCAGGCAAAGAGTTGCCAAAACAATTCGTGGCTTACTTCATAAATTTGTGTGCCATATATTGCTGAATCGATTGTAAATTTTGTTCCCTGCTATTGTATTACATGTATAGATTATTGTACTTGGCTTGTAATTGAGTAACTTACCATGTTTGATATTTTGCCTAGTGGCAAGCTGCGATTGTTAATATGTCACCTTTGGACGAGTTGTGGTGATACTGGTAATAACCCATATAAGATGCTGATGTGGTTTAGGAATTATTTCATTTTAGACTAGTGTGATTGTCTATACTTAATTACATTAATATTGCCGTTTTTGAGATATATTTATGTGTTGATAACTCGGTATTTTGCAGTGCCTGGAATCAAGGTCATTAATTCAGGAATTATTATTGTGGAATATTTGCGGCTGGTTTGAGACCAGAATTGTGAAAGTGCGATCCCTGTTTGGGAAACAATTCAAATATAGGTAGTAGGGTCATCTTTCGGAAGCGGAGCATTATTTTAATATTGGATTTGTACAGCTAATAAATCAAATATTCTAGGTGAGAATCAACAGATTTTTTGAATTTTCGCACTTTTATCGATTGACAGTATATATTTAACACGACATATTTAATTGCATGTGAAAGTGTTGAACTTGGGACATTTCGGAATAAATTGTAAAAAAAAAGACAAATTTGTTTGTTTGATTGCTTTACCGACTGAGGTCTCACAGCCGCTCTGAAGTGTTTGCTTATGCCCTTTCTCTTATTGGACAAGTGAACTCCATCTTAGCTGGAGGAACAAGTGGCTCTGTGACACCACAATCTCGGGGTGGGGTATGAGAGTCATGTTTTCTAGCTTGTTCAGACGGTGTCTTGTCTTGTCTCAGACGAGGTCAGTGATTTTCTCACACCAGGAGAACTGAGGACTATGCTACGTGGCAGTGTGGCAAGGCTAGCCGTAATGAGCTAAAGCATAGGTTTATTGCCTCATGACAAAGCCTTGCTTCAAGTTGGCCAATGTCGCTTGAGCCAAGGTGAATTTGTGCATGGGTCTGCAAGAGACTATTTGGCCTGCGGGGGAAGGACAGAATAGAATAATAATTCTATCAATGGCACTATTTAGAATTAAAGATGTGACCATAATGTTCCAACTTTGTTTCAAAAACGGATACATAATAACACCAGAGGGAGTAAGAAGCCAAAGAAGAACATGGCAGCACAGTCGCTAAATTATGCATGTGACACGTGAAAATTAATCACCTCGCGTGCGGAACAAGAGTTCGCATCCCTACAATAATATGAATGTTTTGGAGACTTTTCACCTTTCCTGCATGCTTGCAAAATGTTGTATAGTGGAACTCCCTCAAAGTAGGCCCATGATATTGCTGCTGCTGTGACATCGTGTGTTCTAGCTATGGAGTGCTGTTCTGATGAGGTCGGACTGATGAAGGCTGACTGGATTACTGTTTCTCGTGAAGCTTGGCGATGAGGAACCGATGTGCTGAAGAGACTTCTCACATCCCTGTTTAATGCTGTCCCTTTGATTTACTGCTTTAATTAAGGGCTCAAACTTGGCACCATTTCTTCTCTCCCGGAAGAGATAAATGGAATTAAACATCTGGAACGAAGATATAAGAGCTGTTAATCCAGAGTTTAACAGGTAGATGGGAAAATGCCAACTCGGTGTGAGTAGAATTGACCAGATCAAAAGTTTTCTGGCCGTCTACACCATTTACAGTAATCTCAAAATCGGCTGTTGTAAACCTTTCAGGTAATTGATGGGAGCTCTAATTGCCTAGAAGCACGCTGTTCGTTAGGTGAAGACTCCCAGGGGCTGACTGGATTATATTCGACTTTGACTGAAACAAAATATCTTGAAGATGTGGAAGGACAAGTGGGTTGTGCACAGACAGAATTATTAATTGTTGAAACGACAAATGTCTGAGCCAGAAAGGGGCATAGATAAGAACTCTGCAATGTTCCCGGGCTGTAATGTCCATTCCTTGCGTCGACTCTTCCCCCGGAGAGGGTATTAGCCAGAGTATCGGCTAGGCTGTCTCTAACCCTTGGCTGCCCAGTCTGTCGATGTGTGCATGACGTAAAATTGGTCTGGCGGAAGGACCGTCAAGGGCGTAGAGCGTCCTGCGGGTTTTTCCGTGGATGTATGTTGTTTGAAATGCTGTTGAGAAACAGGATCGGGTAATCCCCTTCAGTATCCGAGGATCTGTTTGATTGGGAGAGTTGTGACTATCCTGAAGTTGAAGCCCCAGTGTGTTAATGAGGATCTCCTGGCTGCGGTGATCGCCGGCTCCGGCCGCTAGATTTCCACCCAGGTCTAAAAAATGTGGAGATGGGTGAATAGAAACCGTCGGAAGCTAGTAAGGAGAGCGACCGAAGGCCAGGCTCGAAGTAAAGTGTTCTTGGTCTGGACGAATGCACCCTGNTGGTTGTCTATACTTAATTACATTAATATTGCCGTGTTTGAGATATATTTATGTGTTGATAACTCAGTATTTTGCCGTGCCTGGAATCAAGGTCATTAATTCAGGAATTATTATTGTGGAATATTTGCGGCTGGTTTGATACCAGAATTGTGAAAGTGCGATCCCTGTTTGGGAAACAATTCAAATATAGGTAGTAGGGTCATCTTTCGGAAGCGGAGCATTATTTTAATATAGGATTTGTACAGCTAATAAATCAAATATTCTAGGTGAGAATCAACAGATTTTTTTAATTTTCGCACTTTTATCAATTGACAGTATATATTTAACACGACATATTTAATTGCATGGGAAAGTGTTGAACTTGGGACATTTCGCAATAAATTGTAAAAAAAAGACAAATTTTTTTGTTTGATTGCCTTACCGTCTGAGGTCTCACAGCCGCTCTGAAGTGTTTGCTTATGCCCTTCCTCTTATTGGACAAGTGAACTCCATCCTAGCTGAAGGAACAAGTGGCTCTGTGACACCACAATCTCGGGGTGAGGTATGAGAGTCATGTTTTCTAGCTTCTTCAGACGGCGTCTTGCGAACGAGGTCAGTGATTTTCTCACACCATCGGGCGTTTTCCGGGAGAACTGAGAACTATACCACGTGGCAGTGTGGCAAGGCTAGCCGTAATGAGCTAAATCATAACTTCATTGCCTCATGACAAAGCCTTGCTTCAAGTTGGCCAATGTCGCTTGAGCCAAAGTGAATTTGTGCATGGGTCTGCAGGAGACTATTTGGCCTGTGGGGGAAGTCTTGAAGAAGTGTCCCACCTTTCCTAGGCCAGAGGATATCCGAGCTGGTTGTGCCCAATTTTGATATGGTTGTAGCACTGCTCTGCCTTTGGCCCACTGCGAATAATGCTGTTGCCCAATAGCCATGTCCTCTGCGTCTGCTCTGTGTGGATGATGAAATAACTTTGTGTGCCACAAAACCATGAAAACGCAAAGTCCATATTAAAGCCCATTGCTCAGTAGTTTCCTTGGTCGAATTTCTGGTTCGTGTTGCTTTGAAATATCACTACCGTAAGGAGGCATTAATAAATCCATCTACTTACTACCTTATCTGCCCGTCTTCGGGAGTCCCCTACTGAGGCACCATTCAGAGCAACTGTGGGGGCTGCACCACACGGAATGAATGTGTCCCAAACCAGGCTGCTAAGTTGATAACCCTGCTTGGCGCACAGCTTTGTGCAACACTTCCTAGAATTCATACCGCGTAATGGGTTGGCTGTTTGAAAAGAGGGCCTGGAACTGCTGGTCGATCGTATGCCAATGAATTGTCTTAAAGTCTAATCTGGGCATGGCCAAACAGGGTATGCTAGGAAACAAAAGGTTGCTGACTGCCCTTGTTGGACAGTTTTGAAAAAAACGAACACGTGCTCAAACTGTGCAAGGCCCTCTGCCCATTTAAAAACCGTAATGGCCAGCACTCTTTCTGTCCCCAGTGCGACTGTGGATGCCAGTACCCTTAATGCAAAATACACCAAAAAGAAATCAGCTTTGGACAGCCTTACTCCGAAAGCAGCGCTATTGCATAGCCTACTGCATGTAATGTGGGCACAATTGCTTCAAGACATCCCTTGTTATGGGTCACCCGTGTCAGGCGTTCTTTTATTGCTTCTGTGACCTTCGAACATTCTTTTGATAAAAAAAATTGGGTTTGGTCATTCCGATTATGACTTTTGTGTAAAACAGAAAGTGCTGAGACATTCAAGCCAATGGCAAACGAAGCCATGCCCTTTCTGGACAGGGCTGCCAAGGAATGCCATACAAGTTGCTGTGTTGTGGTTGGCCAAACTGAAGCTCGTTTCCATTGGAGACGAGACTCTTAAAATGTACTCCCTGGTACGCATCCAAGGTGTCTGGCGTCAAAGACCCTGACAACAGCCTATGCATGGGTACGCTAAACCTCTTTTCAAGCAATGGAATATGTCCCATTTGCAATCTTAGCAGGCCATACCGTGGAACCATTTTCCTTGAAAAAGCTGCCATAGCCAGGGCCTCAGCTCTTGTTGGAAAAGAGTTAAATTTCCTGATTAGTTGTGCAGCAATTATTGTTGTCCTGATAAAGGGTTCCAGGAATTTAAGTGACATTTTCAGATCCGCTTTAATAGCACCTTGTTGGTTGGTTTTTACCTGTCATTTAAGCATGTCTAATATATTAGCCGCCCTAGAAAAGCCCTAACTGGTTTGACTGCCCGACAGACAAAGCTCAGAAACCCACTTACTGTTTGAACCTTCAAGACTGCTACAGATTAAAGAGTCTATTTTCTTTGCTCTCTTGATCTTCTGTAGGTTATCGGGCGGAACTTGGATTTACATAGGGTATGTGATGATTTCTATCCCCAAGTCAGTACTGTACTGCAGAGTACTGTAACGGGGTATGTATTAGGGCTACCAGCGGATACTTACCTGTTTTCTATGCATATTTCCCTCGAGTTCACAGTGCATCTGCTAAAACTTCACATAAGCTACAGCTAACCACTGTATATGCAGCATGCCCACCATCGTCTATTCGCCTTTTCTCGAGAGCTGTGGCAGTAGTCTAAATCGAGTCTTCCCGTGGGGATGAGGAAGGGACGCTCTGCGGCAAAGTATTTGTTTAACCGGATTTGTTAGCCGGATGCATTTCCATCCGTGGCAACTTTATTTTTGGCCGAGCCCGGGACTAGCAGCACTGCCGTGTAATCTTCAAAATCCTTCTGCGGAGAGAAAAACAAAGCGTTGATGACCTTCTTGTTGTTTGCTGCCCAGTCTAGCTAAATGTGCATGACGTAAAACTGGTCTGGCGGAAGGACCATCAAGGGCGTAGAGCGTCCTGCGGGTTTTCCGTGGATGTATGTTGTTTGAAATGCTGTTGAGAAACAGGATCGGGTAATCCCCTTCAGTATCCGAGGATCTGTTTGATTGGGAGAGTTGTGACGATCCTGAAGTTGAAGCCCCAGTGTGTTAATGAGGATCTCCTGGCTGCGGTGATCGCCGGCTCCGGCCGCTAGATTTCCACCCAGGTCTAAAAAATGTGGAGATGGGTGAATAGAAACCGTCGGAAGCTAGTAAGGAGAGCGACCGAAGGCCAGGCTCAAGGTAAAGTGTTCTTGGTCTGGACGAATGCACCCTGGGTTATG